GCCGATGACGTAGACATTTGTGCAACGGTAGCGGGTCTTGGGCAAAGGCAGCACCGAGATGTGGACGGCGTTGACCTTGCCCTGGTTGTCCGTGCCATGATGGTTGGCGCTGGGCTGGCGGGGGTCGAAGTTCGTTTGTTGTTGCGTCATTATCATCTCCTTGTGAAACGTAAAGCGTAAAATGGGATTAGGTGAGCTGCTGTTGGATGAGGTTGGGGCTAAGGGCTGGGGACGGTGGGCCATCAGCGCTCCTCGCCTTCTGCCGTAGTGATTGGCAGTTCTCCTATGTAGCGATGGCCAGCAAACCTTATACCACCTGGTACAAATGACATGATAGCAATTGCGTTGACACAGCGAGCGAAGAGTATCGCTGCGTCGCCACGCTGTCTACCGCCAAACATCATGTCATCGGCGCGCGCACCTATTTCGCCAGATATCGATTGGGACCACTCGAATTGGGCATCTGTAATTTTTGTAAAGTTCGACTCTAGGCGCTGAATTTCTAAAATGATGGCTAGATGCATTGTTTCCCTTATAAGCGGCAATCTGCCGCCAAGATCGCTGGCACGGCCATCAAACCCGTAGGCTTCGAGTAGCATCAATATCACCCTTCCCTCAGAAAGTTGTTTGCATAGAACATCAATAAGACGAGCGCAATGGCATAGAGTAGGAGTGTGCCATCGTTGGTCATGCGAGTTGGTCCTGTAGCAGCCTGGCGTAGTGTTGAGCTTGGCCTTGCCCGTTGTAGATGGTGGCGAAGCCGAGCAGGTCACGTTCTTGCAACTTGAGGATGGCCCCTTTGTTGGCGATTAAGGTGAACATGGCACGCAGTTGGGCCGGTTCGCCGGTGGCAAAGTCGCGCTTCATGGCCATCGGGGTAGGGTAGCCGAGCAGGGCGTAATGGAAGCCCATGATTTGGGGGGCACCCATCGATATGGATTGGTGGGCGGCGTGCTCGTTGATGGTGGTGGCGAGTTTGAAGCCTTTCCACTCCAAGTCTTGATTGCCGTGAAAGCTGCGGAAGCCGCTGCCCAGATTGACGCGGTGGCCGTTGCCATCCCACGGTGTGCTACCCACCTCAAAGTGCTGGCGGAAGTAGGGCCGGTCGCCATCATCGAGCAATTGATGGCAGATGTGTGGCTCAAAGCGGATGAGTAAGCGCCCGTTGGCATCGAAGCCAGAGCCACCAGACTCGATAGCGATGACCGCTCTAATCAACGCTGGATCAACACTGTATTGAGCTGATAGGTCAGCAATGAGGTCGTCGGCGGGCGTGGGGCTATAGGGCTCAAGCAAGGTGACGTTGTAGGGTGAGCGTTCCGCCATCCAGCCAGGCCGGATATCCCACCAGGTCAGCCCATCGACGACTCGGGGTTCGCCGTGGAGGGTGACGACATCGCCTTTGCGTTTGAGGTCGATGACCGAGGTGTTTAGGCCGGGGGCGATGCGCACGTTGCAGGCTCCAGCGGCGACACGGGCCATTTGGCCAGGCTTTAGGTTGGTAGCGGGTTCGGCTTTGACAGGGGCGGTGTCCCAGCGGTAGTTGTGGGTCAGTGCTTGGCGTAGGTCTTCGTGAAGGCTGAATTTTTCACAGAAGCCCCATTTGTCATAGTTGGGCCAGCGGTAGAGGATGAGGGCACGGATCTTGGGATTGGCGGGTTGTTGGTTCCACCAGTTGATTTCGCCATAGGCCCGTTGTACCCAGCCGTTGTTGACATCGAGCCACGGCTCGTCTTGGTCGGTCTCGGTGATGTAGATGGGCAGTCGTTTTGCCCAATCTGGCAGGGCGTTCATAAAGTCACGGTAGGCCAGGAAGTTGAATTGGCGATGCTCAAAGGGATGGCCCATGGGACAATGGCTGTAGATCTGGAATGGGTCCGGGCCGTGGGTGTAGGTATGAAGGGTGACGCCACCACAGTTGGCTGGGCCGATGGCCTCAAGGATGTCGGTAAAGTATTGAATCCAGTCGCCGGACTCGTTGCCAGGGTAGCGGGTCTGGACATTCCAGGGGGCAACGGCGGCGACGAGAACCTGGTCTTCTTCATGGCCAGGCAAATCGAGGATGGCGTCACGACATTGACGATAGCAGTCGGCATAGTCCTGGGGTGTGATGATGGGGCCTTGACGACCGCCAGGGCGTTCCCAGTCGACGTTTGTCTCGTTGCCGATGATCCAGATGTTACAGCCCGGGCTAGCGGCGACGAAGTTGGCACAACGTTGGGCAAAATTGGCATAGTGGAGACGGTTGGGGATGGTGCCTTCGGGTTCGTAGCCGTGGTTGAGACGGACAATGACGCCAAGGCCCTGGTCGGCATAAGGCCGATAGTCACCGTGGCCATGGTCCTTGGGGTTGGCACCGAGGGCTTCGGTAAAGAGTACCCAACCTTTGGCCGTGTTATCCATCTTGAGCAGATGTTCGCCACCCGGGTCGTGGATGCCGTAAAGATAGGGAGATTGCATAGCGTTATCCTTTCAGATGTGCTATCCTTGCAGAATAGTCAACATGTGCTGAAAGAATTTTAATGCATATTTGCATATATAGGGAAGATGTGACCCGCCCCTAATTCTCCCCTGGCAGGGGAAGGAATCGTAGTCATTTCTAAGATATTGCTAGCGAATTCCCGAGGATAAGGGTTGTTATCCGCGGGTGGATAAAATATGCGTATTCGTAACTTTTTGTAAGGAATACCGTCACTGTGTTATAGTAGGTGAGGACTTGGTTCCTCCTTTGGTTGATGATTGATGGGACGATGCAGAACGGACAAGGGGTGGGGCAAGCTACACCCCTTGTCCCCCCGAACCAAAATCAAAATGTAGACGAAGCGTTGGAACGTCTGTTAACGTTGATTCGTGCAGAAGCACCAGCTTTGTTGCAGAGTGGACGGAACTTTAAGATTATTATCAATAGTTCGGCTGGCCATACGTTTAAGGTCGAGCTCACAAAATATATTGATGCTTGATCGGCGTGACTTGGTAAAGCAAGGCGCTCATTCCATTTGGTGGAGTGAGCGCCTTTTTTGATTGGAGACCCCCCATGTCTGATTGGATGAATTTTTTTCTTGGCCTATTAGCGACATGAGTTATCGGGTTTTGTTGGTGGCACCACGCACGGATTTGCTCTTTGCTGAGGCTGAGGTACAGGCCATCTTACGCAGCGGACTGGTAGTCCAGCCATTGATCGGCGTGGCTAATCATGCTGACCTGGTGCGCGATATCCTGACTGGCGAATATGACATTCTGTGGTTATGTACTCATGGCAGCCAAGAGGGAATATATCTGAGCGACGGCGTTATGGAGGCATCATTGTTGGCACCCTTGGTGCGCAACCGATTTTCGACGGTGGTGCTGAATACCTGTGAGAGTATCGGCGTAGCGCAGGTGTTGCAGGATGAAACGGACGCTGGGGTGATTGCTACGATTGCAGATGTGCCAGACCAACAGGCATTTCAGACAGGTGTGCTTTTCGCAGCTTCGTTGGCGATGGGCAATAGCATCGACACTGCCTATCGTGATGCAAGACCGGGTGGCAACCACAATTACGTGCGATTGGCCGGTAGGGGAAAGATGACGCAGCGACAGAGCAACTTGGAACTGGAGGGGCTAACGGCATCCGATATACGACGGATGGTCAATATTGTGCTGGGTGCAGATGTTGGATGGGATGGCGTAGTGCGAGAGATTCAGAAGATCGAAGAATCTCTAACAACAAAGATGAAATCAATGGAGCAACGGTTAGAGAGCCGGATAGTCAATCTGGAAAGCAAGTTGGGGCGGACACCACAAGCGGACTTAGATCGAAAACTTCTGATAGCGATTATGCTAGGCATGATTGGACTGGCTGGGGTCATGGCGTGGGGCGTCTATGTGGTAGCGAACAGTGGCGGTATGGGATGACGGTGCAACTTTGGCAGAGCCTTATCTATCCAGCTTTGCTGGTCTCATCGTTGGTCTTTGCTGGCGCTATCTTGCTGACGTGGTGGACGGTTGAACGGCTACCAGTGCTGTTGGCAATGGTGGCGTACTTCATATTTGAGGCAATTACTTTTGCGCTATTGACGCTGACCACGGGAACCAATCCACAACTGGATATCAATCTATTTCGGCCATTAATTCTGTGGGCACGGTCAGCGATGCTGCTAGCGCTGTGGGCTTGTATCGGTATGCAGTTGTGGCGGGTTTGGCATCGGAGGTGAACGATGAATTGGAAAGCGATTGTACGGCAACTTATTCACAGCGACCTGCCAAAGCAGGCGTATCAAGCAGTTACCCAAAAATGGGGCAGCCTAGGTGTAACGATAGCACTGGTGGTGGTTATCCTGGTGGGTGCTTTGGTATTTGGTTATGAGCTAGAGAGTATCCAGACATGGTTTGCAGCGTTGGGCGAATAAGATTCGCGTAGCCATGCAGATAGTTGCTTGTCGTGTTTGGGCCTGAACAACCGAAATTGAACCGTATGCAGAGCGACCAGAATCCTACCAGTGAGAAACCGCAGATTGTAACCGCCGCTGACGATGTGAGCGGCTGGCGGCAATTGGTGGTGGATGAGCTGGCCAGGCTAAATGGGAAATTGCATAGCCGCAAGAAGAAGGACACCATCCTCGCCATCATCGACGCCAGGCTCACGAGCACTTCGGAAGAGAGTGTCTGGGGCCGGGCCGAGACGTGCAACCGTTCCACGTGGCATGAGAAGTGGAAAAAGGACCCGCTGATAGCAAGGGTACTCGACAACTGTTGGAGCGTGGCGGATCGTTGGAAGGACAGCCGTGCTGCTGATGCGTTGACCGAGGCAATGATGATGTTGCAGTTGGAGAGTCCGGATAGCGTGCGCACCATGGTCCATCTGCGGGAGAAAAGCAAGGATGACCGAGTGCGGTTAAATGCGGCAACGGGTATCCTCGACCGGGCCGATGTGAAGACGGCGGCCAAGGGCAGTGCCACGACGACCCATAAGGTCGACGACGAAGTGGCCCGGATGATTGAACAGGTTTATGGCGACGACGATGACAACGGCAGCGACGCAGAGACTAATTGAACAGGCTTGGCGGGTGGGGCTGCCACCTGACCAGTTGGAGAACTTTCTCTCTGCTGGCTATGTGGCCCAGCCCAAGCAGATGGAGTTCCATGCCGCGGCGCGCTTGGCCGATGAGCCGGATGGACCGGATGAGGTTGGCTTTGGTGGGGCGCGTGGGCCTGGCAAGTCACACGCCATCATGAGCCAGGTGGCACTGGATGATTGTCGTCGGGTGCCGGGGCTGAAAGCGCTCTATCTGCGCAAGGTCGGCAAACAGGCCCGAGAGCAATTTGACGACCTACGCCGGTCGGTCTTGCGCCACGTGTCCCACAAGTACAACCGCAACGAAGGTGTGGTCACGTTGTGGGATGACAGTCGCATCTTTATCGGCCATTTCAAGGATGAGAAAGATGTCGATAACTATCTCGGTATTGAGTATGACCTGATTGCGATTGAAGAGTGTACCACCCTGACGCTGACCAAGTATCGAGCGTTGCGGGACTCGAACCGGACCAGCAAACCAGGTTGGCGGCCACGCATCTACAACAGCACCAACCCGGGCAATATCGGCCATGCCTGGTACAAGCAGAAGTTCATTGCGCCAGCCCGTGATGGGTGTGAGCACTTCACCCGCTTTGTCTTTGCGACGGTCGACGACAACCAGTTCATCGATCAGGACTATAAGCGGAAACTGGAAGAGAACACAGGCTGGCGGCTGCGAGCCTATCGCTATGGTGACTGGGATATTGCCGCTGGACAATTCTTTACGACGTGGCGACATGACCTACATGTAATTGAGCCCTTTGCGTTGCCGTGGGGATGGCGTTACTGGTGTGCATTGGACTATGGCTTCACCCATCCCACCGTGGTCTATCTGCTTGCCCAGGATGGTGATGGCAATGTCTACATCATTGATGAGCATCGACAGAGCAAATGGTTGGTGCCGCAACATGCCGAGAGCATCAAAGCGATGTTGGCCAGGCATCACATTGGCTTGGCGGATCTCTACACCTTTGTAGCAGGCGTCGATGTCTTTGCGCAACGGGGTGGCTCGCAGACGATTGCCGAGCAGTATGCAGAAAAGGGCATCCAATTGCAACGGGCTAACACTGACCGCATCAATGGTGCGGCTGAGGTGCTGCGACGATTGGGGGATGCAGAGAACGGTATTCGTCAGACTCTTTTCATCTTCAATCGTTGTCGCTATCTGATTGAGTGTATCCCGGCCATGGAGCATGACCCGAATCGCCCCGAGGATGTGCTGAAGGTCGACATCGATGAGGACGGCAATGGCGGCGACGATTGCTACGATTCATGCCGCTATGGCCTAATGGCGGCGACCAGTGGCGGGTCGTATGTGTTGGAGTATCGGTAAATTTGTCAAGATAAATTGCATCCAGTTTTGATAAATGTTTACGGCCGTTTTCTCGAGACATGACCAATACACAGAGAACTGGTTTGCAAATTTTGTTGCGGGTTTGTGGAAGACGGCAACACTACCGCGGATAAGCGTATTTATCGTCGGGAGAAAAGCAGATGGAAAAGTTGTGGATTTGGTTGGCATGGAAGCTACCAAGACCGTTGGTCTACTGGTCTTCTATTCGGCTGATGTCGGCGGCAACAGTCGATGAATATGGTGATACAGACCCGACCTCATTGGACGTTATGACAGCATTGAATAGATGGTAGCAATATGGCAATCAACCTGGCAGAACTGGCCTTCCTTAGTTGGCAGGCAGCAGAAGAAAAACAACGACAAAAGGATATTGCGTTAGCCAGGCGCTACTATGAGGGGCTGCAAGACACCTTTTTGACGGCCAGGCTCAAAGAGTTCCTGAATGCCAAGGACGATCACGAGTTCAATCTCAATGTCTGTCGCACGGTGATTGAGGCGGTCGAAGAGCGGCTGATCGTGACGGGTGTTTCGACCAATGAACCGGAAGAGGGTAAGCGGCCCGTGGCTGTGTGGGCAGATGGGTTGTGGGACCAGTCACGTTGTGCGTTGCTGCAACAGTCTATTTATGAAGGGGCGTTGCGGGATGGGGAATATTTTGTGCTGGTTGACTGGGATAGTGAGAACCAGCGACCACGATTCACACCCCATCAGCGCTTTGTCGACAGCACTGCCCAAGGCGATGGCTTTGGCTGCAAGGCCCACTATCCGGATGACGATACGAATCAGCCGTTGCAGTACATCAGCAAGCGGTGGATTGAAAAGCTAGACACGCAGGGAAAGACCCGATCCCGCATGACACTCTATTTCCCTGATCGTGTCGAGAAGTATCAGTGGGTTGGTTCGGATTGGGTGGAATTTCAAGACGAAGGCGATGGCGGTTGGCCCATCCGTTGGGTTGATAAGGTTGGGCAGCCGCTGGGCATCGCGGGCGTCCACTTCCCGAATACGCCAGATTTGCGCCCCGAACATTGGGACTCTATCCCGTTGCAGAAGGCAATCAACAAGCTATTGCTGGATCTGTTGGCAGCCGGTGATGTGGCGGGCTTCCGATTGCTCTTCACGTATGGGTGGATTCCGACCACCGATGGACAGCCGCCCAAGGCTGATAACAGCAATCTGGCCACGATTGCACCCGGCAAGATTCTGGGGACGAATCGCCCCAAGAGTGAAGCGGGTACCGATGTGGTACCACCGACTGAGCTCCGACCATTGATCGAGGCGATTCAGAGCACCATCGGTTGGCTGGCCATCGTGACCTCTACACCCGAAAGCCGTTTGTCATTCACGCGCCAGATTGCGGCGGAAGGGACGTTGCAAGAACAGAATGAGGGACTTTTCGCCAAAATTCGTAAGCGCAAGATGCGGTTTGATGCTGCCTGGCAGGATGTGTTTGCGTTGGCACGAAAGCTAGACAACACCTTTGGCAATGATGAACTGGATGAGGATGTAGCCTTCATCATCCAATGGGAGCCGGTGCAGAGCCGTGACACCGAAGATGAGCGCGACGAGTGGCGGGCCAAGAAGGAGTTGGGTGTACCGCTAGAGGTCATCTGGCGAGAGATGGGCTATTCGCCGGAAGAGATTGCCGCCATGAAAGAGACTGAAGAGTATCAAGCTAGGGTTGGGTTGATGCAGCTTGGGTTGGGGGCTGACGAGGGCTAATGGATGAGCATGAGCGGGCGGTTGCGTTGGCGCTGGCCACGGGAGAAGAGCTACGCAAGCTCTTTCGGGCCTTGGGGGCTGCCAATCCTCGGGGCCGGTTGATGACCGCTTACCGCCAGGCTCGTCGGGCGCTTGCTGGCAATGTGGGCAATGTCGGGGTGGTGGCTGATGTGTTGCGAGAACTGCGGATCTCGATTGAAGAGGTGACTCGGGCCCAGTTGCAGGCAGCAGTGGAGCGGGGCCAATGGCAGGCCCGCAACGAACTGGCGCTTTATGGTCTGCCCCACGTTGTCGAACCCTACCAGGTGGGGGTACCACTATCGGCTGTGATGGCTGCCGTAGATGGCCAACTGGCGCAAGTGCAGGGTCTAGCCCAGTTGGGAGACGAGGCCCTGATTCTGGGCGATGAGCAGCGGGTTGGCGCTCTGGCACCGGGCACTGTGTTGCGAGAAGCGACCCGCTGGACGGCGGTGGCGGCGCTTGTGGCCTATACAACGGCTGTTGATCGGAGTGTAAGGCAAGTTGATGCACAAGAAGAGTTCATGCGCCAGGCGATTGCAGCCATTGACAGGAGAACGACAAACTGTTGTTTGCTTGTCAATGGGCAAACAGTGCCACTCGATAAGCCATTCCGATTGTCTGGTACACCACGATTTGCTGATCTAATGATGAACTCGCCATTTCATCATTTTTGTCGTACATCACACGCGTTGGTGAGGAAGAGTGCAGCCAATGATGACATTACCCAAAAATTACAAAGGGATGCAGAAAGGGAACTGAAGAGGCGCGAGATTGAAGGGGAAGGAGAGCAACCAACTCGTCGCAGATCTTCACGTCCTTCAGCATCAACGGGGACTCTCACACCAGAACAATTGTTGTATCAATGGGTACATGGCAGCAAACGTCGCACATCGATCATTCTTAAACAAGCTGTCAAAGATGAACTTGGTGTACGGGGGTTGATCTTCCAAACACGAAAATTCAACATTGCCGATGGCGATATAAGTGCTGCCCGACCTGCTGTGCGTGAGATGTATCAAAAGACACAATCTCATCTGAGAGAGCAGGGTGTCAAAGAGATAAAGCTCTATCGTGGTGTCAAAACTGATGTACGCACACCGGGTGTCGTCGAATCTTGGACAACCGATCTGCCTACCGCTCGAAAATTTGATGGGCATGATGTCATGGAAGAAACAATTCCTGCCAGCCGTATTTTCATGTTTAGTCGTGGCCCAGGGTGGAAAAATGGCAAGTACGGAGAACAGTATGAATATATTGTGCTAGGGAGTGAACCGCGATGATCCGACAAGTAACCAAGGGGATTGATGGTAAGGAGATTATCACGTTGATCCCGGAGACGGAAGAAGATGAGGCCGAATTAGAACGGATGGCTGAAAGTGGCGAGTTGGATGTGCGTGACAGCTTCGCCGATGATCCGGACGCTTGGGAAGAGGAAGCAAGCAATTAATCTCCCGACGATAAGAGCAATTATCAGCGGCCCCTGAGCTTGTCGAAGGGGCCAACGGTTATAGAGAAAGGACAGCGTGATGCTGCTGAATTGGGAACGATGGTGGGATACCATGATTGTGATGGACGCCGACGACGGGGGATCTGGCGGCGGTGGTGGTGACGCTGGTGGCAATGACGATGGTGGCGAGGGGCCGGATCTTGCATTGTTGCAGGCAGAGTTGGCAGATGTGCGCAAGGCGTTGAAAGCGGCGAACAAAGAGGCAGCAGATCGCCGTGTCAAACTCCAAGAGCTGGAGACGGCAGAAGAAGAACGCAAGCAGGCAGAGCTGAGTGAGGTCGAAAAGGCACAGCAGCGGGCCCAAGAGGCCGAGCAAAAGCTGACTGAAGCCCTTGACCAGCAGAATCAACGCACAATTCGCTATGCAGTCGAGATGGCTGCTCATGACATGAACTTCCATGATGCTGGGGACGCGTATCGGTTGGCCGATCTCGATGGTGTTGAGATCGACGATAAGGGCAACGTGACCGGCGTGGAAGATGCGTTAAAGAGTCTTGCCAAGACGAAGCCACATCTGATTAAAGGGACTGAGCAACAGGGCGGTGGTGACATCAATGCAGCCAACCGTGGACGACAAAATGCGCCGACGCAGGATGAGTTGGTGGCACAGAAGCGACGCTCTGGGCAATACGTTCCGATTTAACGATTCAGAGGAGATCGAACGATGGCATTAATTACACGAGCAACCGATGCAAGTATCGATGCAAGTACAGCGATGTATGCTGCGCAGATCCCGGATCTGGTCGCTGGAGAAGACCTCGACATTGCAGCCCCTTGCTATATCAAGAGTAGCGATGGCAAGGCGTATATGAGCAATGGCACGGCAGCGAACGAAGCCGCGGAGATCGTCGGCTTCACCCCGCGAGCGGTGAAGTCTGGGCAGCCAGTCACCTTGTTTGGAAAGGGCACGCGCTTCAAGTATGGCACTGGGCTAACGCCAGGCGACAAGTATTACATCGGGGCGACTGCTGGGCGATTGGACTCAGCAGCAACTGTTGGTGATAGCACTGGTGTGGCACAGGCGATCAATGCGACTGACATCCGGGTGATCCGCGACGCGTAGGCAGTTGCGACAGACGAGCAGAATGACAGGATAGAAAAGTCATTGAGGAGAGATTGAGATGACAACAGGTACACACACAATTGCCGATCTGTTGGCTGCCCGATTTGTATCCGCCGTGGAGTACGGTCTGGATACCATCCAAGCGGTGTTGGCAGCGGACATTGCGGCACACAACGTAATCGTTCAGGATCTGGCTGGCGGGCTGTGCGATTTCACCACAGACCGCCAACGACGATACGGGACAAGCATCAGCGGCGAGATGGTAGAGGTGGATGAGTTTGGCCGAGCGCCCACGCAGATCGCCCGACCCGGCGCGACCGTGGGTTTTCCGATGCGTCAGTTCCAGTTTGCGATTGGCTGGACGCAAAAGTGGTTGCAGAACCACACTCCTGCTGATATGGCGATTGCAACCCAGAATGCACAAAAGGCGCACCTTCGGCGTATCCAGCGAGAAATCAAACGGGGCATCTTTATCCCCACCAACTCGACCTTTACTGACTTCCTGGTTGACAACATCGACCTGGCAGTAAAGGCGCTAGTCAATGGGGATGGGGCCGGTATCCCCGATGGACCGAACGGCGAGCAGTTCGATGGTGGTACACACACACACTACCTTGCCCGGGCTGGTGGCTCACTGGCAACAACCGATGTTGCATCACTGGTTGATACCGTGGTCGAGCATGGGCATGGCAACATGGTGAAGATTGGCATCAATCGGGCGGATGAGACTACCTGGCGAGGATTGAGCACGTTCAAGGAATATCCGGATCCACGGGTGGTCTATCGTGCCAGCGATACACCCGCCCAGACATTGGATATTACCCGACTCGACAATCGGGCGATTGGCATCATTGAAGGGGCTGAGGTGTGGGTCAAACCGTGGGCTATTGCAAACTATGCAGCTTGCTGGGATATGGATGGGCCTGCACCATTAGCCTATCGGCAGCGTTCCGCTCAAGCGCTTCAGGGGCTGCGCATTGCGGCAACGCTTGACACGTTCCCGTTGGTGGCTCAGTACATGGAAGCCGAGTTTGGGATCGGCGTCTGGAATCGGACGAATGGGGCAGTGTTGTATTACGGTGACACAAGCTACGCTGCACCGACGATCAACTAGCCAAATGGCAAGTGACAGAGTTCCCCCACCTGTCTATGGATAAGGAGGCGATATGTCTGTCTATTACATTGTGAATGGCGTGAAGGTTGATCCCACTGGCAATCCGATTGCAGAGGAAGCGGTCGAAGAATCGAAAGGTTCAGGCACTCCTCTGCCAGAAGAATTCCCAGGACGGGATGATCTGATTGCGGCCAAGTTCGATACCGTGGAAGCCGTGAAGGCCGTGGATGATCTGACCACAGTTGAAGGTATCGGCAAGGCAACCGCGGCAAAGATTGTTGAGGCGCTGGAGGCGCTGTAGATCATGGCATTTTCCTATGACCTGGCCAGTGGCGATGCCGACACGGTTCTGATCTCCAAGGTCCGTTTGGAGATTGGGGACACGGTGGAGAATAGCGGTGTCTTACCCAACGGGGGCAATCTCCAGGATGAAGAGATCGCGGTCAAGTTGGCTGAGTTCGACGATCACATCGGGCAGACGGTAATGGCGATATGTGGATTGCTGGCCAGGCGCTGGGCAACGTTGGCCGATGTGGCGGTTGGGCCGCGACGAGAGTCGTTGAGCCAAGTGGCCAGTCGTTGGCAATCGTTGGCCGGTGGGGAAGATGCCGGGAGTTCGTACACAGCTTATGTTGTGGGCGTTGACCGGGAAGATGGGTACAGCGTCTATGCAGATGGGTAACTTTTCCCGTGGATAAGTTGCCTTATCGTCGGGTGATTGGAGCATGATGTGGCAGTCGATATTCGTGAAGGCGACACATTGGTCGTGGCTAGCAAAGAGTATCCGATCCGAAGCTGTGCCGAGTGGGCATGGGGCTATGGGTTGGGTAGCATTGCGCGGCTGATGACGTTGACCGCCAGCACGAAGCGCCCACCGGCGATCAGTGGTGGCAAACGAGGAACACCGGTGACTAATCTGACCGGGTTGGCCTGCTCGCCGTTGGATCCCGTGGATCCGGATTTGCAACAACGCCTGGCGCTGGAGACACCCCACGAACTGCTACAGGCCTACGTCAATGGAGGCGATGTGTTTTATCACGTAATTGTTGAGGACATGAAGCGCTAATGGCAGCCACTATCTATGGAATCCAACGAGCTCAAGCGGGAATGCTGCGCACCATCAATGCGGTGAAGCCACGCAACGGATTGGGGGCAGCGGTCAAGGCAATGACGATTGCTGCCCATCGCTATGCAATGGGGGTAACCCATGTTGATACCGGTGCATTAAAGGCTGCCCATACGATGCAAGTTTCCGGTGCTCGTGGGCAGATCTATATCAATCCCTCTGCGGTGCGGAGTGATGGCCAGCGGCCCAGTGTCTATGGTGTTCATGAGCACGCGCGAGGTGGTAGCCACGCGTTCTATGATCGCACGATCCGTGAGCGGGGGCAGTCGATTCTACGTGAAGGGGAACAGGCGTTCCGGAGGTATTTACCCTAATGGCAACCAGTCTGAATCGGGAGACGGTACGTAAGGCATTTGCTGCGCTATTACAGACTGCCTTGGTGGGTGTGGGGAAACCGGCATCGGCGGTCTATGACTACCAAGTTGGTGATTTTGAGGGACAGTCACCGGTGGTCGTCGTCAGCAGCGGAGGGATCGAACGAAAACTCTCTGGCATGGCAGGTTGTTGGCAGAGCACGGTGACGCTGCATATTCACACCTTTGTTCTCTATGCCGATGCTGATGCTGGATGGACTGAAGCCGATGCGGAGGATGCCATTGATGATATCGAGGCGAACATCGCCGATGTGATCTTGGCGAATCTGAGCAACGGAACGTGGAGCGAAGTTACCTACAGTGAGCCAACCTTTTTGGATGGGGTTCAGATCGGCGGTGATGAGTATCGTCGGGAGACCATCCAGTTGACAATCGAGGTGATCAATTGAATGTACGTTATGTGGGTGGTGGTCACTTCATCGGTATTCCAGCACGTGACCTAAGCGAAGCTGAGTGGAAGGCGTTGAGCAAAAAAGCACAAGATGCGCTGCTTGCGTCTGGTCATTATGAGATCGAGGAAGCCAACGAGGCAGAGAGCATAGAGACTCAGGTCTTAGAGCCGGTGAAGCCACAGCCCAAGAAACGAGGTAAATGACTATGACTGTGATGACATCCGAGATTCGGGTGCAGGCAGGGAAGCAATCGAATTTCACGACAGCGGTAACGCCAACGATTGCATTGCGTGGCATTGAGGAACTGACGCTGCGCAGTGGCAATGATGTCGAAGTCATTGGGGATATGACCCAAGCATTGGCGGGGGGTGATATCGGCATTGTCAACGGTGTTGCCGGATCGGGATCGTTTCGGGGTTGGGGTAGCTACGAGCATATCCCTTACTGGTTAGACAATCTCTTCGGCGAAGCGACACCGAGCGGGGCCGGGCCCTATACGCGTGACTATGAGGCACCGCTGACGAGTGCGCCAACGCCACGTATTCAGACGTTGGTCAAGGGTGATGGCACTGTGGGGGCCTACCGGCTGATTGGGGCACTGCTCAGTAGCTACGTATTGCGCTTCGAGCAGAGACGACCGCTGCAACAGTCGGGCGACTTGATTGGGGTTAGCTTGGGGTCTACAACCTTGGCAGCATTGAGCGCGCCAACAGTGAACCCAATCTTGGCCACTCACCTGTCCGCGATCACTTGGGATGCGTGGGGCGGCACGATGGGTAGCACCGCGTTGAGTGATTGTTTCGTGCGCTTTGCAGAGCTGACCGTAACACCGGATCGAGCGTCACGGAGCTGCTTTGGGAACCTAGCAGCGCAGGCATATGTTGAGCGTCCCTGGGATGGCATGTTGAAGCTCGGGCTAGAGTTCAACGCCACGACCAAGAGTGACATCGATGCCATTGTGGCGGGTACGCTGACACAGAAGCAGGTACAGTTGACTGCCAGTTCGGGAGCCAACTCGCTACAGATTCAGTTCGCGGGCACGGTGCAGGATGACGTGGAGATCTTCGATGATGACGATGGTGTGGTGACAGTCAATCTGTCATTGCAGCGCACCTATCATGCGAGCTTTGCCAACTGGCTGAAGATCTCGGCAGTCAATGGACTGGCGACGTTGACGTAATACCCGCGGATAATAGTGATTATGAACGGAGATTGGTATGGCTGAGATTGAAATTACGATTGTGCCACCTAGTGCTAGCAAGCCAGGCTTTTTGCGTCGGCAGCGGCGGGTGATGGAGTTGCAAGCACGCATTGCGCAGAATGATGCGCAGGCACTGGATGAGATGGTGCGTTTCCTCGTTGAAAGTGCAGATGAGGTAACGGTGCCTAAAAGCGTTGATCCGGTGGAAGCGATCTACGATCTGAGTCGTGAGGACTTTGAGGCGCTGGTCAATGCAACCGGTGGCAACGATGGGGTGGACCCTACGAACGGCGGCTGATCCGGGCGTGGCTGCGCGAGCAATCCAAGGATGTACCATTTTGGATGCTCGTCTTGGAAGCAGCCAAAGAGTGGGGTGTACCGCCATGGGTCGTCGAGGCCGAGTGCAGCCAAGAGTGGTGGGCACGTTGGCGTTGTCGACGCGAAGAGTTTGCCAACAGGCCCAAGTCACAAGGTAAGAGCAAAGTGGTCGGTGAAACCGTTGCACCGACCACGGGCGAGATATAACGCAAGATGCCAGAGTATAAGCTGCGGATCGTCGTTGAGGGCGAAGACAAAGCCAGTGGGCCGTTAAATAGAGCATCCAGTTCGCTACAGCGGATTGGGGAATTTGCCGCGGGTGGGTTGATTACCAGTGGCATTGAAAAGATGGCTGGTGGTATCGCTGCAACGGGGCAAGCTGTTGCAGGCTTTCTGGCCAGCTCTATCAGCGATGCCAAAGATCTGGGGGCGCAACTCAGTGCGATTGGCGCGGTATCACAGGCGACCGCGGGTGAGATGGCAGCGCTAAAGGATCTGACCTTTGCCCTTGGTGTTGATCCCAAGCTAAAGGTCTCGGCAACGGACGCGGCTGAAGCGATTGGCATGTTGGCACGCAACGGCCTGGAAGTTACTGAGATTCTCGATGGGGCGGCACGTTCCACGGTATTGCTGGCCAACTCAACCGGCGCGGAGTTTGGTACCGCTGCCGACATTGCCACCGATGCGATGGCCATCTTTGGAATTCAAGCCAACGAGATGGCATCCGCAGTGAATGGCATTACCTCCGTTGTCAATGGCTCCAAGTTTGACATCAACGACTATCGGTTGGCGTTGGCTCAGGCCGGTGGTGTGGCTGGGGCCTCCGGTGTCGAGTTTGATGACTTCAATACGGTAATTGCTTCGATTGCACCGCTCTTCGCGTCGGGTTCGGATGCGGGGACATCATTCAAAACGATGTTACAGCGCCTGATTCCACAGAGCGACGGCGCGGCCGTTCTGATGCGGGAACTGGGCTTGTTCACGGGGCTGACCAACAAGGAGTATGAAAAGGGCAAGACTCTGATTGCCAAGTATCAAAAGCAGTTGGCTGACCTGGATCCAGAGAGTAAGAATTATGCCAAGCGCAGTGAAGAGCTGAATCAGAAGATTAGCGTCCTCAGTTCATCGGTGAAAGTGGGACAGAATGCCTTCTTTGACATGCATGGCAACTTGAAGGATGCGGCGTCGATTGCTGGTCTACTTAACCAGGCACTGGGTGATCTCTCTGAGGAGCAACGGAATAACGCTCTGTCGACCATTTTTGGCACCGATGCCATGCGCGCCGCAGCGGCAATGGCTGCGTTTACCGAAGAAGAGTTCCGCAACCTCAAAGCGACGATGGGCAATACCGATGCCGAGCAGTCAGCGGCAATCCGCATGGACAACCTTGCCGGTGACATGGAAGTCTTCAGGGGGGTAGTCGAGACTACGCGTTTACAGATCGGAGAACAATTTGAACCTGCCCTGCGCACCGTCTTCCAAACGGCTACGACCCTGCTGAATGACTTTAACCCTGCCATTGTGAACTTTGCCGGTAACGTGGCAACGGCGCTTGATGGTGCCGTTAAGCGCATTGCTAACGCAAAGACACAGTTTGACTTCCTGGCCAGCAGCGGCAATGTGGTCGGTGGGATCCTGGCTGGGCTGGGCACGGCGACAGGGGCGGTGGTAGATGTGCCGATTGGTGCAAAGGTCGTCAGCGTTGATTGGGGCGGGTTGCAGGCTTCCTTTAATAATGCAACGAAAGACTTGAGCATCACTGTTGCTGACTTTGTTACAGGCACCTTCAATCTCAATGATTACACCACGACCATTCAGATCGGCGACTTCTTCACCGGTACCTTTTCACCAGCAGATTTTGGTTTCAGCATGGCTATCGGCGATTTCTTCACCGGTACGATCAGCCTGAAGGACAAAATTGCCCAGGTCACTGTGGGGGACTTTTTTGCAGGTACGGAGGTAGGCACCGATGGCAAAATTAAATTTACGCTAAATGAGACAGATTTCACCTTTGACCTGGGAGCGCTCAAGACGCAAATTGAAAGCCAATTAGGATTGATAGCCGGTGCGATCACGCTGGGAGTCACCTCCATCCAGGGCGCTTACATCGAGGGTGGTGCTCTGGGCGTGTTGACGAAAATTGCATCTGAGCTTGCCACTGGCGTGTCTGCGCTGGGTGAGATTGAAGTCACCTTTGATCTGAGTGGTGTCAAAGATACCATCATTGCCCAATTGAATCTGCTCAAGACTGGATTGCTGGTAGGAGCTATCGGTCTCAACTTCAACAGCGTAACCACAAAGGTTAAAGAGTCCATTGCAGCTATTCCCGAAAAGGTAAAAACAGCCCTTACCACGGCGGAGGCATTCGACTTCTCCGGTGTGGCCAGTGAGATAGCGACCAAGATCCAAGGTATCCCCAATGCAATCACGACATCGCTTGGCGACCTGACCGAGTTTACGACAATCGCCACCACATTGCAGACAGGTATTACCGCTTTGGTCGGCCCTGACGGGGCACTGCGCACAGGTCTTGATTTTGTCCTTGGCATTGTCGATAATTTCTCGACAGCGCTGGCTGATGCCGATGTGGTGACCATCGGTACGACGATTACCTCTGTGTCGCAAGGGATAAGCCAACTACTAGGCGAGATCAGTGGGTTTAAGGTGGAGACCATTACCAACACTGTCACGACCCTGAGTGATTTTGTGACATCTATCACGGATTTCTCGACGAAATTGACGGAAACGCTGGATGCAGAGGCGATGGGTGAAGCATTTTCCCAATTCGCCGCGTCCTTTGTTACTCAGTTCACGGCTGCGATTGAAAGCTTAGACCTGGCTAACATTGCGGCTAGCGCCTCTGCGTTGGTGGCAGCTTTAGCCCAATCGTTTCGTCAGGCATTCTCGCAAGACAACACGTCGCTTCTTGGCGGCGCTGTTGGTGATCTGGTTCATGCATTGCTCGATCAAATTACCGCAGCTTTCACCAGCCCGGATCTAGGTACAGACTTGGGAGGTGCCGCGGCCGATCTAGCCGCGGGGCTCTTTGATGCCATCACGGGTACCCTAGCTGGATTAGGTGATGCGCTAGAGGGATCTGGTGGACTCATTAATCTCACTGAAGCGGCGGGGGATTTTGTTGGGCATTTCCTTTCTGGCGTGGCCGCAGCAATGGCGAATGCGGATTACTCCGCTATTGCTGAAGCACTGAGAGGTGGTATTGGCGGGGTGATGAATACAGGTCTGGCGGTTGTCGGGATTGATGAAGAATCTAATCGAGACCGAATCCGCGAAGCTCGCCAGCAGCTAGCCGAGGCCAACGCTCAGTTGCGGGAGGCACAGCAGATCAAGATCGATGAATCCACAACTAAGCTCGATGCAACACTACAAGTACTCAACGCGACTGCCAGCCGGCAGGAGGCAAGTAACAAAGCACTGTTCGCCACATTCACAGAGGTGATTGGCGGGGCCGTTCGGGACTTGGGGACATTGTTTACAAATCCCCGTGAATTATGGACTGAATCTTTTAATAACTCTGCCCGTGGCAGCGAGCTGGATCAACGTTTCGGTACAAGCGTGGTTGGCTTAACTGGTGATACGGACATCAAGGCGAACCTAGATAGTGCGTCGGCTGCGGCCAAATCATTTGCTGAATCTCTAGCTGGCTTGGACAGCTTCACGCAAACCGTCTTGGCAGCACAAGCAGAGATCGGCAAAGCGGTGGAGCAAGGCCCAAAAACAGCGGAAGAGTTAGGGTTCAACCAAGAGGGATTCACACAAGCACAGAAAGCGATTGAGGAATTCGCATTGGCCACCAGCCAACAAGCGCAGTTCATTACGTCGTTTAGCGATGTCACCAGTAGCGTTGGTGATGCCAGTGGCCTATCACAATCGGTTGATAGCCTGACTGCATTTGTGTGGCCGGAACTACCGGATTTAACCACGTTGACCTGGCCCGATCTCCCTGAATGGTTGTGGCCAGACTATCCGGCTTTTGAATGGCCCACACTTCCTGAATGGACATGGCCGGTACTGCCCATCTTTTCGTGGCCAGCCTTTCCTGCGTTTACATGGCCCAACATTCCGAGACCCACATGGCGGTGGCCCAGCATTCCGAAGCCCGGTTGGCTATCAACGTTGGAGCGTCTGTGGGGAAGCCGTCCGGAATGGCTCAGTAATAGCGGAAGCGGGTCGAGTGGGGATCCGAATCAGAATGCCACGGGGACGCGCAACTATCGGGGTGGCTGGACGTGGGTTGGGGAAGCTGGTCCCGAGTTGGTGAATTTGCCGCAAGGGAGTGCCATCTATAGCGCTGGGGAGAGTCGGCAGATGGTTGCTGCCGGGGCTGGAGGGCCTGCGGTGGTGATTCAGGGGCCGATTCATCTGCACAACGGTCTGGATGTTCAGGAGTTTGCTTATCAGGTGGCAGATATTGTTCAACGACGACGGGGACGGTAATTCCCGCGGATAACCTACATTATGTCTGGGTATCCCGTTAGCTCTGTGTGAAAACGCTCGTGCACCAGGTGCGGCAAATAGTTTTGATTGGCTAGAAGATGGCACATGCATTATCACTGACAGATGGAACGACGACGATCAATCTGTCGGATCTGACAAATACGATGGTGACGGCATACACGCCGGTGACACCCGACCTCGATCCGCAAGAAGCGCTGGCGTTGGCGGATGGGGGCGAGTTTGCGATGGTCAATTTGCGCAATGTGGTGGAGACGGCGGATCTGTTGTTGATGGCCACGACCAAGCCCAATCTGCAAAGCTTGATCAACTCCATCGAGACAATGGTGCAAACTGCTCGTCGACGCCAGCGGGTGAAGGCGGGGCCAAGGGTCTATCTGCAACTGACGGTAGATGGAGACGGAAGTGTCTATCGCAGCGAGATCATGGGGGCACGGCTGGCGTTGCATGATGATGCCTTGGTGAGCGGTTGGCCCAACATCAAGGTGGGGGCGAGGTTGCATATTCAACGACGCTTCTTTTGGGAAGGTCCGGAAGTAGAATTGCAACTCTCGACGAGCAACCAGGGTGCTGCGACCGGTGGCAGGACGATTGTAAATCATGATGATGGTGGGGCTGGGGATGACAACTGGGTGCAGATCGCCAGTAGCCAGGTCAAGGGGGTATTGCCAACGCCAGCCCGCATCACGTTGCAGAACACGTCGGGGTCAAGTCAGTCATACCGGAATCTACATTTGGCGGTCAATGCCTTTAGCGATCCCGCAAACTTCGTACACATTGTTGAGGGCGAAGCTGCCGGGTCGGGTACGAATAATGCCAATTCGAGCGGCGGCCAGTATTTGAACTTCGCCTTTTCGGGTACCAGTGGAATTCTGTGGACGTTGAGTGGTTCACAGATGCAGAAGGCTGCCGGGCAACGCTTTCGGCTGTTGGCACGCTTCTCATCAATTTCGGGTGGTGGCTTTTATGCCAAACCGATCATCCGGAATGAATTTGGGCTGACCGATCTCTTTGAAGGGGAAGAGGTCTATGTCGACAGCGCGGTGTCGATTGTTGATCTGGGGGATGTGCCATTGCCACCATCCGGGGCGGGGGTGAGCTGGACCGACATGACGCTCTATCTACAGTTGCGGTCGACGACCTCGGTCACAATCGCTCTCGACTTTATTCAGTTAACCCCAACCGACAGTTACGTTCACCTCATCCAACGCGGCTATCAGATCGTTAATAACGGGACAATCACAATTGATGGGGTTGAGGGAGTGGTTCACGCTGGGGGGCAACCGATCTATATTTCGCTGGGGATGCCGCTGCTGCTCTTCCCGAGTAGGACACAACGGGTGATCGTTTTGCACGATGAAGCGACCGGGACACCCGCCATTGCGAACTCGTTCAGCGTGCGGGTTTATTGTAGACCACGCCGTTTGACTGTATAGGGAGCAAGATGGACTGGATAGCGCTTGTAATTTGTGGCGGGGTGGCGCTGGTTGTAGTTGTCACGCTTTGGACTGTCTGTGTCGCGGCGGACCGGGCTGAATCGAAGATGGGAAACGACGAACCGTATGAGTGAGTGGCAGGTTGAATTCACCGCTATCAATGGCTCACCTTTACCAACGCCGGAGGGTGTAGTGATTACGCCGCTGTGGTATGGCGACCAGGCGCAGGGCGGGCCAGATATGGCCGAGCTGCAAGCCGATGGTCGTGGTGCTGCGCTGTGGTCGCTTCTACTCCTTTTGGGGCGACGGATCGTGATTCGGAATCGAGTGCAGCGACGAGTGTGGTCGGGGTTGCTGGAAGAATGTATTCTCAATCTCGGCGGGCTCCAAGTTGGGTTGACATTAAAGGGGATGTTCAACCGGGTCACGGTGATGTACACGACTGAGGATGCCAGTGGTGTCGCTGTGCGGGCCACCACTGATTGGGTCGAAGATAGCGAGAGCATTGCACGGTATGGCTATCGAGAGTTGCGCTTCTCGATGG